AGCATGGATCCAGGAATGAAAAGGACAGGCAAGATCCCTGTCTCCCTGCTGTCTCGTGTGTGCCTAGAAATCTTTCATTCTTAGAGCTGAAAGGGACCTTTGACACCCTCTAATTCTATCTCAGGACACTTAGGCCCAGGCAGGAGAGGAGGCTTGTCGAAAACCAAAGAGAAAGCAAAGCAGGAACTAAGTCAGGGTGGGAACACAGGGCTCCTGACAACAGTCAGCCAGGGGGACAGCCCAGAGGCCATGCGGCAAGGAATCAAGCAGTGGTGTCTGGAGAAAAGAGAGTGGGCAGGCAGGTCAGCAACAGAAAGACCCATGCTGCATGGTCTGGGGTCCCTCCTGCAGAGAACTAGGCCCCCGAGCACCCCATTCTCCCTTGGCACAGGGACCCCAGCCCCTTTTCTTCAGAACCCCAAGGGGAAATTGGAGCCCAGGATTGGCAGCGTGGAACCAGGGGACCCCACCGGACTCTTACCAGTTCCTGGATCATACTCCTTAGATGTTTGTTTTCTACATAGCTGGAGTACCGGACTTCTGCCAGATCTAGGCACTGGCTCTAGGCACATGAAGAGAGGAGGAGTTGGAGGAGGGCTGGGGATAGAGGTAGAGAGAGCGATCATTAGGGGTGGGGGTGCCAGCTGCCTCAGCTGACAGCTGGGCACCCAGCCCCCACCATGAGAGGTGATCAAGAGGCTGCCTGCAGGGCACTTACATCCAGCTCCTTCATGTAAACTGATGTCACAAAGGCCTCCCCACCGATGGATGATGGGGGCTGGAAGAGATGAGGGCACACATGGAGACGCTCTGCCCCTCAATGGCGAAGCCCTCTGCTGTCCTTTCTTCCTAACCTGGACCAGGCCCTCCTCCTGTAGCCCCTCTGTGCCCACTTCTCAAGGTCTCACTTCCCCATCGTCCCTCCTCTCCCGAGCAGCTCTTATCCTGCATTTTTTGGTTTTTTTGTTTTTTTTGGTGGTGGCCAGTAGAGGGATTGAGCCCTGGGCCTTGGTGTTGTCAACATCATCCTGTGCTTCCTGCAGCAGGATCCAATGAGACAGCCCAGCTCGTGGTCCATCTGTGTGCACAGCTTCAAGGGAGAAGCTCAGAGAAGAGTCCTATGTCATATCCCGAGCAGAGGGAGACGTAGTAGGATTCAAACCCAGACTTCTTACCCAGTCCCTGACACTTCTTCCACGGTCGTTACCATTACCCCCGACTGCTCCTTCAGCCCCCTGTTCCCAGGAGCCTGACCAGCCAACACTCACCTCCTGAGGTGACTGGCACCTCCCACAAGTGCTGGGCTGGGGCCTACTGGCCGTTTTGATGGTTTTTTCCTCAGCAGTTCCAGCTAGGCGCTGTTTCTTTTGGAACTCTCTTAACTGTGAAAAGGAAAAGCAGTAATATTCAGGAGATGTGGAAGCCCCTATGTTTGTCACCTACTTTACAGTTTTTACAAAGTATTCTTACTCATACTGTCTGATTTAATGCCACCAGCAACCCTATAAGGTGTTGTCATGATCACCCAATGGCTGAAGAAATGGACCGACAGCATGATTAGAAAAAGGCAATAATGGAATTGAACTTCAGTCTTCTGGGGCTTTGTCATGAGTCAGCAGCTGCCGGGGGGCCAAATATAAATCAGACATCCGGGCCTCCCTCACAGAGCTTTGAGAGCTGCACCCCAGTACTTCTCAAACGTTCATGTCAATGTACCCTAATGGCAGAAGTCATGAGGGCACACCCCTAGGGATCTGGGGACCTCACAAAAAGAGGACAACCCAAGCATCATTTCAGAGAGAAGTCCATTATGATCTTACAAATCCGGGTGAATATCACCCCTAAGTACATTAAGAGGTTTTTTTGTCTCTCAAAAGAATCAAGCAAATCTGATGCTTCAGAAAGAGGCCCCCTGGGTCCTGTGGCACCCCAGATTGACATGATCTGGGCAAGATTCAAGCTGTGAAGCTCAGTTGCCCAGGATTCATCCCACAGAAGATAAGCACATCTCCCTCCAGAGAGTAGTGACTGAAAGGCGCTCTGGTCCCACAATCCTGGGGAATTCTAAGGTGAGATACGGACTCAGAAATAAATTGTTAAGTGTCTCTAGAGAGTAGAAACCCAGGAAAACACCAAACCGAACCCGTTCTCCCAATGGTCACCCAGAGATATTGTCAACATATTGAGCTCACTGGTGAAGTGCAGGCTTTTCAGGGCTGAATCAGCACTACTGCCAGTTTTCATTTTGTTCTTTGCTCCTGGAGGACTGTTTCTCTATTGAAACTCTCTTAACTGTGAAAAGGAAAAGCAGTAATATTCAGGAGATCTGTAGGCCCCTATGCTTGCACCCTACTTTACAGTTTTTACAAAATATTCTTACTTATACCATCTGATTTAATGACACCAGCAACCCTAAAAGGTGTTGTAATGATCACTAAATGGCTGAAGAAATGGATTGATAACATGACTTTAAAAAGACAATAATGGAATTTAACTTCAGTCTTCTGGGGCTTTGTCATGAATCAGCAGCTGCCGGGGGGCAAAATACAAATCACACATGAGGGTCCTGTCTTACAGAGCTGTGAGAGCTGCACACCAGTACTTCTCAAATGTTTATGTCAATGCGTCCTGATGGCAGAAGTCATGAGGGCACACCCGTAGGGATCTGGGGACCTAACAAAAAGAGGAAAACCCAAGCATCATTTCAGAGAGAAGTCTGTTATGGTCTTACAAATCCAGGTGAATGTCACCCCTAAGTACATTAATAGGTTTTTTTTTTTCTCTTAAAGAAATCAAGCAAATCTGATGCTTCAGAAAGAGGCCCCCTGGGTCCTGTGGCACCCCAGATTGACATGATCTGGGCAAGATTCAAGCTGTGAAGTTCATTTGCCCAGGATTTGTTCCACATAAGATAAGCACCTCTCCCTCCAGAGAGTAGTAACTGAAAGGCGCTCTGGTCCCAGAATCCTAGGGAATTCTAATGTGAGATGCAGACTCAGAAATAAATTGTTAAGTGTCTCTAGGGAGTAGAAACCTGGGAGAAAACCAAACTGAACCTGTCCTCCCAATTGTCACCCAGAGATATTGTCAACATTTTGAGCTCACTGATGAAGTGTAGGATTTTCAGATTGTCAATGTCTAAGTGAAGGGAGTAAGGGAGCCAGAAACCTCTTGGTCCTGGGTCCTCTAGTCCCGAGTACCCGTCCAAGTGGAAATTTGTGCCATGATCAGAAAAGCTGGAAAGGAGGTTGATGGAGTTTGGATGTGTTGTCCCCTCCAAAACTCATGTGGAAATCTGATCCCCAATGTGGCAGTGCTGGAAGCTATTTGAGACATGGGGGTGGATCCCTCATGAATGGATTAATGCTCTCCCTAGGGGTGGGGGTAGTGAGTGAGTTCTTGCTCTAATAGTTCCCATGAGAGCTGGTTGTTTAAAAGACCCTGGCACCTTCTCTCTCTCTCTTGCTTCCTCTCACCATGTGATCTGCTTGTACCCACCAGCTGCCTACCACTTTCTGCCATGAGTAGAAGCAGCCTGAGGCC